GCTTGTCACCTACGGTGTGTAACATGCTGAGGTACGTTCCCTCTATCGCCCACTTTCTGGAGTGGGTTGACTTGTGAATGCTGAGCTGTCCTTGCACGCCTGGAATAGAGCCCACTGGATCATGGTATCTGACCCTTTTCGTGTGCTGCTGAATTCAGTTTGCTGATATTTTGCTGAGGGTTTTTGTATTCATGTTCATCAGTGATACTGGCCTGTAGTTTTTTTTCCCTGTAATATCTGTCTGGTGTTGGTATCAGTGTGATGGTGGCCTCATAGAATGAGTTGGGAAGTGTTCCTTCCTCTGCAGATTTTTGGAATATTTTGAGAAGGACTGGTGTTAACTCTTCTCTAAATGTTTGGTAGAATTCGCCTGTGAAGCCATCTGATTCTGGACTTTTAGGTCAGGTGGGTCTGACCCAGGCTCCATTCAAGTTACTGCCTCTGACCTGGGTCCCAGAGAATGTGGGATTTTCTGCGTGCCTTTTAAGACTGGAGTCTCTATTTCCCTTAGCCCTTCAGGACTCCCGATGGTAAGCCCCATAGGACTTCAGAGCCAAACATCCTGGGTGCTCGTCTTCCCAGTGCAGGACCCCCCGGCTAGGGAGCCCGATGTGGTGCTGGGTCTCCTCGCTCCTCGGGAAGAACCTCTGTGGCTGTAATTATCCTCCCGGTTACGGCCGCCCCCCAGGGATGTGGGCGCCCCTCGGGGTGGGGGCGCCCCCAGGGTGTGGGTCTGGACTGCGCCGGGTCTCCGCCCCTCGCACCTGTTTCGCTGGTTCTTCCTCTACGTCTCTAGCCGCAGAGGGTCTTGCTGCTCTCATGAATAGCTGCTCTGTAATAGTTGCAGTTTTGATGTGCCCGCTGGAGGAGGGGAGCCCAGGGTCTTGTTCTCGTGTTTCTTCGTGTTACTTCTGTTTGTGTCCTGCAGAGAAAAGCCCTAACCAAAGGGAAGGTGTTGGTAATTGTGACTTTTGAAATTGGAAACTTCTGTTCATAAAGATGCCCCTGAGATAAATTAGGAGTTTGGGATTTGCAGATACATGCTTCTATTTATAAAACAGATAAACAACAAGATCCTACCGTTCAGCACAGGGAACTATATTCAATATCTTGTAGTGACCTATAATGATAAGAGATATGAAAAAGAATATATATGTAACTGAATCACTATGCTGTACACCAGAAACTCACACAACACTGTAAATCAACTCTACTTCAATAAAAAACAATACAGTTTTAAAAAGATGCCCCTGAGAGCATGAGGAGAAGTGGAGAGTGAAGTGGAGAAGCCATCTTCGAAGCAGAGAACCTCAGAGGACAGGTGTAAGATGCAAAGGGACTCCTACAAACGACTAAGAAACGGACATCCCGGTGGAAAAGAAATGGTCCAGGTAAGAAAACAGGCATTTAGCAAAAGAGGATGTCCAAATGGAAAAGACACTCAGGGCTGGTCAGGGAGGCACAGACTACAACCACCCCAGGGCATCACGGCACGCCTGCCACGAGGGCTGCACGGAGGGTTAGACGTGGAGGCTCTGGGGTGGGGGAGGGACACGAAGCTGGGGGACACATGCTTTGCTCAGGGGTGACAGTGCCTGGCGTTCCGTAGGGGTGGAAGACCTGTGCACATTCCAACCCGGCGACTGCAGTCTGCAGCGCGGGCCTGGGGGAAGAAGGGCCCACCTGCCCTGGACGGCACAGGAGCCTTGAAGCATCATAGTGAGTGCCCACTGGGGAGCCCTGCACGTGTCTGTTAACAGTGTAACAACTGAGAAGCTGGTATATTCTCACAATGGAGCACCGCCCGGCCACGAAGACTCGAGGGGCCCCACCCAGAGAGAGAGCTGGGTGCAGGGGGTCGTGTGCTCAGCTGGAAGACACGATGTCCTGGGGCGACTGCAGCACACTGGTCACTCGGGCCGTGGTCACTGTGGGGTCTCTGCAAGGCGCCCCTTCTTTGTGTTGTATGGGTGTCTGCTTTATAAAAACTCATCAAGCCGTACGTTTTATTTTGGTTTGTTTTGTGCACTTTCCTGCATGTTATAAGAAGTTTTAAGAAGTGTAGTTTTAAAACTGTATTTAAGAAGTTCTGTTGGTTTGTTTTGGTTCTTGTCTTAAGAGATGTTTCTTTTCCCGCAGGTCACCAAGACATGCCACCATTTGGGCGAGAAGGACCTGCCAGCCCAGCGCTGCTGTTTTGCAGGCGATCTGTCTTGTTCCCTCCAGCTGCTTCACGGGTCCCCTTGCTCCTTTTCTCCTTGTCTGGAGTGCTCTGCATGTCCCTGGGATGCGTTCCGGCGGGGATTTGTCTGTGTTTGGGCTTCTTTGTTCTTGCATTTGTGGCCTAATGGATGTGAAAAGAGGCAGAACGTTTCCCATCAGTGATGGAAACGTTCTGCCTCTTTCCAGGGCTCTCTGGCTGCCCTCCCGGGAGCCTGTCTTTCTGTCCCAGAAACCCGCCCTGAGCCCTGCCTTTGGGCGGCCGCCTCGGCAGGTGGACACCGTGGAGGTGGGGGAGGTGGGGTGTGGGAGAGGACGCTGACTCGAAGGAGCCCCCCATTCCTGCCCCAGCTGTCCCCTCCCCCTCAGGGAACATGGAAGGAGCCAGTCTCGTGGGCCTGGGGTTTTGGTGTTGGGGACTCGGCCCTCCCCTCATGCCCCCGCCCCCCACTGTCTGAGTCGGTCTCTATTCTGTGGGAGGGGAGCCCTGGGGAGACACCCTGAGCTCCGCACCCACGCTGGTGGTGGAGTTGAGAGCACGTGGTCAAGAAAGAATATTCTGTGGGTTTCCAATGTCTGCAGAGTAGGAGTCAGGCTGAAGTGGGTGGTGGGTTTGTAAGTGGATGGGGGCCCAGAGGACTCTGGCCACTGAGGTCAAGGCGAGAGAGGCTGGGGCTGGCTGCACAACACTGCCCCCCCCACGCACGCCTGCACATGTACACACATGTACACACACACGCGCGCGTGCACACGCACACTCCAGGGCACGCACACGGCCAGGCCCGCCCTTTAGACCTGCTCCCCCTTCAGCCGCTTGGTCCTGATCCTTTTAAACTGGACGGTGGGCTGGAGGTCATAAGGGAAGTGGCCAGGGCCAACCCAGGCACAGCGAGGTAGGGGGAGGACAGGGGAATCCGATGACGCCCCCTAAGCTGTGGAGAACCCGGGGGCACGTCCAGAGGAGCACAGTGTCAACTGAAATGGAGTCACACAACGTGAGAGCTGTGGCTAAGTTTTGTCTGGGGCAAGATGAGGACTACAGCCCGGGAGACAGCATCTCAGGAAGCGCCAAGAACCTGTTCCAAAGAGGCCGGGGGAGAACCGGTGTCACATGTGACTTCAGTGAAGGGGACGCGCAGCCGAGCACACCCGGGGGCAGAGGCTGCTGCTGGGCATGAGGAGCAGGTGTCCCCTTAATGATTTCAGTGCTTCTCTAGATATGGGGAGATGCAAGTATTGGGCTCCTAAAATCTCCTGAAAATGCCTAAGTATCTGAAGGCCTGTTCAGCCCGTTGTCCCAGAGCGCAGAGGCCTCATTCCTGGTCCCAGCCTGCACTCCTCCCCGAGCGCGCTGGGGGTCGGCGGCCGCAGCGGCTCGTGATTTAACCCAGGCGGAGGCAGCCGGCGAGGGCCAGCGTGATCCCGCCCTTGCAGGGGCAGCTGGCGAGGGCTGGTTTTACTTGGCAACAGCAAGAGGGCGGGAGGGCGATTCCTTCTTCAGACCTATCTGTTGGGTATTTATTGACAGCCAGTGTGTTCCAGGCACTGTGAAATCAGATAAAAATGGGGAGGGGGCAGTGCAGGAGGAAGGGGAGACAGAAGGTCAGGGAAGAGCCCAGAGAGGCAAAGACACAGACCTGGAAGCCGAGACCCAGGCAGGAGCTCGCGCCCGCCGGCTGCCTGCTGAGGACTGGAAGTGTCTGACCCACCAGGATCACCTGCCTGGGACGCTGGCTCTTCTCCTGAGCAGGATGGAGGCGGCTGGAGCCTTTGGGCTGGCTGCGAGCCCACCTGCTGAAGGGATGGAAACGTCCTTTGCCGGCTGCAGGGCGAGGGTGCCGTTTCCTGATGCGGGCTGACTGCCTCCGCTGGGCGGGCACGTCCCAGGGAGAAGCTGGCAGAAGCATCCTCAATGCCGATGCCCTTCCTCCTGGGACTTGGGCGGGTGGCCAGCCACCCACTGGCTTCAAAGGCTCACGGAAAACGAGCTTCTGGGCTGCCCTCCGGGATACAGAGTCACCCCCACTCTGCACCTGAGCTGCTCAGAGCCCCCTCTGGCTTCCCAGACCAGCCGTGTCCCTCTCAGGGCGAGGGCTGGACTCAAGGCTCGCTCAGCCTGCCGCCCCCCTGCGGCCCCGGGCTGACTCTGACTCGGGGCTGCTCTTCTCCTGCCGTGAGACTCCTCAGGCTTGTGTTCAGGACTGGCCGACCCCCGCCGGCCGTGGGTTCACCTCCGCTGAAGCATCGCCACCCTGGTTCCTGGCACTGACCTTGACCCTGGAACAGCAGCCCCCAGTTGATACCTTGTTTTCCCCTCTGGTGACCTTCACAGCAACCCTGAGTAGCGGGAAAACCACGTCCCCACGTCGGGGGTGAGGAGACGGGCAGGAGAGGACTGGAGGAAGTTGCCCGGGTCCTGGGTCCCCAAGAGGGACAGGGACAGGCCAGGGTGCTGCCACCACTGCCGTGTGCTCCGTCCTGGTGAAAGCTCCCGTTCTCAGCCGGTTGGGCAGCTGCGCCCCCGTCCCTCCTCTCCAAGGAGGCCACCTGATCCTCGTGGGGTCGAGTTCGGGGGACACGCCATCAAAAGCCCTGCTTAGTCCCATCTCGCACAGCGGACAGAAGACCAGCTGGGTTACGGAGCACACGTTCCCCAGCAAAGTCAGCGGGAGGCAGCAGTGGGGGCCCTGGGCCACCAGGCAGTGCCTGAATGGAGGCCCCAAAGCCTCCAGATCCTGCATACGCAGCCCCTCCTCCCATGTAGAGGACAGGAGGCGGGGTCAGAGCTGGCAGGAATTTTATTGAAAGTTCACAGATACAAGAGCTCTGAGCAGGGTCACAGCTTGAAGGAGGCAGGGTCGGGGAGGATGGAGTGAGTCCTCAGAGGCTGGCAGCCACCCCCCGATCCTGGGAGGCTCCCACAGAAGCCCTTCTTGCTGGGTGTCAGGTCTGAGGGGCCCCAGGAGCCCGGGAGGGGGCACAGGCGGGCAGGGAGGGCAGCCACTGGGAGCCAAGGTGCAGCAGCGCAGGAGGAAACCACGGGCCCGAGAAACAGGCGGAGGGCCAGGAGGGGAAAGCTCGCCGCCCGCTGACTGCGCGAAGCCTCTGATGGCCCTGCTGCCGGGTTCACAGCTTCAGGGGGGCCCCAGGGCAGACGCCCTGCTCTGCCCCGACCACTCAGCATCCAGCATCGCGCCGCCACGAACGCGACCTCGTCTCAGGGCTCCGTCTCCAGGCGGGCGGCCTCAGTAGTCGGTGAGCGGGTACCGCAGGAAGATGAAGACCAGGATGATGCAGGAGGCCGCCAGGGCCGAGCTGGTGATGTTGAACAGCCGGGCCGTCTTCGCGTCTTCCACCGCGCCGTTCAGGTCGTTGAGAAG